GCTACGATACCATACCCTCTAATGAGTATGTATCTTTCTGTGCTAACATTTACAGGCCGCGCACCCTTTTCCGCACCCTTATACTGACTTTAATTAATGTTATGTTTGTTGTTGTCTTCAAATGTACCACTTCTTGGACCGCATTATTCGGTTTACAATATAGAATTGTTTTCGCATTTGTTCCATTCAGTCAAACGCTATGGTTGCTTGGACCGTTTTCCTTATTTGCCCTATGAATCAGAGATGCGACATTCGAAGCTTTACATACCACGAACCGGACCACCGGCGTTTCAGCCGTATCGCCTACTGGCCGAGAGCTTCGAATTGGATGCGCCCGAGGGGAGCATACTATGGATGAAATTGGTTTACACTGAAGCCACCAGCCACCAGCGGATGTCACAGGTGTGTGAATAATGACGTCATAATTTTGAAGGATTTTTCCAACAACTCAGTTTCGCTTGATGGTCAACCCGTTGTCGTTGTACATTTTTAAGGAATATTATTGAGCATCAGATATTCAACACTATTCCCCCTTTTCATACTCACGTGACGAATTTAACGGGCGTTTTAGTTTTCCAGTGCTCTGACTTGAACAACACTCGGCTATTTGCATCAGTCGGTAAAATTTATTAAAAATGTTGAAGTTTTTCTTAAATAGACAGTCGTATAAGCTTTCCTATTTAGCATACTATTATTTATTCGTTAATATTCTTACGCCGGTACTCGGCGAATACCATTTGCCTTACTCAATGTTCCATCAATGTTTCATGAAGCTGACGCGACGTTCGTCCCAAAAAAACGGCACGCACTCGGATGAACCGCAGGATGCCAAAAAGGATTCGGCGACTTCTGGAAAAAAGATCCCAACTCTTTTTCAAAAAGTTGACCAAATGGGACACAGAAGATGATCTGGCATTTCGTAAAACCGCCGTGAATCGGAAATCCGCCAATGGAACATACGAAAACAAGCCACCATTCTGGACCTCGCCCGAAAAAACAAAAACGTACTTTTCAGGTACATGAGACAGAGCAGAAACAAGCCATCCGCGTTCTCCTTGGGGGACAGAAACGGAGAACCGATAGATGACCCAACAGTGGTATCTGAGGCTTACAGAGAACACTATGCGTGTCTATCCTCAGCCCCAGTGTCCTCGTCACATCCACTGTTGTCAAGGAGAAACTACGAACAGCCTCTAACCGACTCGGTCTTCACGGTGGAGGACATTCGTCACTCTTGCACAAGATCAAGCCATTCTGAGCTTCGGCGCCCGACGAGGTCCACCCAAGGATCCTGAAAGAAACGTCCTCCACACTGGCAACTCATTTACACCTGGTGTTGCGTCAGTCGCTTGATGAGGGCCGCCTTCCCTCTGCTTGGAAGGAAGCAATTGTCACGCTAATCTGCAAAACTGGTGACCAACTATCGCCTGGCAGCCACAGGCCTATAAGCCTCACTAGCGTGCCGTGCAAGGTGTTGGAACGCATTCTGAAGCGAGCTATCCTAGATCACCTTACTTCCAGCAATCTGACATCTCCAGCTCAACACGGATTTCTCCCAAACCGTTCTTGCGTGACAAACATGCTCGTGTTTATGGACAGCTTAACCCAAGCCAAGGACGAAGGACTCATATCGGATGCCATATTTTTTGACTTCTCAACAGCCTTCGATAGGGTCCCACACGTTCCGCTGCTCCACAACCCCGAGCCCTACGGAATTCAAGAGAAAATCCCCCGCTGGATCAAGGCGTTTTCATCAGACAGATCACTAAGTGTGAGAATAGGCTCCATTGAAGTTCCTCAAGGCTCCGTCCTGAAACCTCTCCTGTTTTTCTGATCTACGTCAACGACCTCCCAGACGTTCTTACGAGTCCTTACGAGTGTCTTTTTTTTGCGGACGACTTGAAATCCTGGAGTTCCAATGCCAGTGCTCTCCAAATTGATGTAGGCACTGCCAAGCAGCGGTCGTTGGACTGACATCTTCCTCTGAATGGTGAGAAGTGCGTCCATGTGTCGTTTGGAGGGCATTCAGCGAATGCCTTTGATACGCGTAGTGAAGAGGGACCAGAAAACTTCATAAGGCTAGATGCCAAAAGGGATTTGGAATCTGGGTCTCATCAAACTCATCCTTCTCACTGGACCATGAGAAATCGGCCCGAGAGGCATTCGCCATTTTACGGATGAACCGTCTCCCGTATTACTCGCATGGACTTCCAAATACTCTATGGAGCTTACGTCAGACCGCTCCTGGAGTACGCCAACCAAGTTGTCTAGTCAGGACGTAAGAAAGACGGTAAACTCATTGAGACTGTTTGACCAAACCATGGCAGAATCTTTTCACCGTTGACCCAGCAAACACCCGGCTAGGACATGGCAAGAAATTTTCAAGCTCAGAGCAGACACAATCATTTGACAAATTTTTCTCTCATTCCGGGTAGGAGCTGCGTGGAATGGCCTTGCTCCAACAGGTTCCCACGCTCCTTCTAGAACCCAGTTTAAAGCACTATTAGACATTTATTCATGCGAAACCTCGCGTTGGCAAGTGTAGTGGTCTGGCTACCCAATAAGTT